CCCCAAAACCCCAAAACCCCAAAACCCCAAAACCCCGAGATCTTAATGAGTTATTGAAATTTAAACTTAAATACTATGCAAGAATTGAAGATTAGAGTTACATAATTTTCTCCCAGATGTCTCTTTATCTAGAGAGGAGATCTATTAAAGGATATGAACTAAAAATAGCTGATTCTGATCAAGCAAGGTTACATAAATGTTTAAAGAGAATCAACATCTTTCTTTTGATAAAATTAGTACGCTTTCTGCATGTTTTATTTGTTCACTCATGATAAAATAAAATAGAAATCTCATAAGTTAGCCTTATACTAAAACAGTCCGACACTAGATTCTAAATATGAATACTTATTTAAGAGAATTCTCTATTAACGGTCAGAACTCTTGGTTAAGTATTATCACTAAAATTCTTAAGCCCAGTTTAAGTTCTAGGTTTACCATAAGGCTAAAAGAAATTGTCTTTATTAATTGCTATCCTTCTAAAACACCTGTTCCTAAAAGAAGGGGGCTTATAGTCCAAAGATTTCTTCAAGGATTCTCTGAAATTATAAATATTCTTAGTAAAAATAGAAGTAAACCATTTTTGACATAATTTGAGATTTTATTACCCTGAGCATTCAGATTGGGTAAACCTGTTTTTATTACCTTGGATGTATACTTGTCTAAATATTTCCTCAGATTCGGTTATTAAGGCTAAGAAATGGTTAATAAATGTAGCTGAAATACAAGCATCAGTAGGTATAAAGCAACTGACTGCTATTACCTGATATGTTTTAGTTTCAGCAACTGATTGGTTATCTTAGCTGAGAAATTGATGTTGGTTAATTAATAAAAATATTACTACCAAGTATTTTTTGTAACGAGAGAGAGGTCGTTTTTTACCTTGCTGAGTGGCCAGGGATATCTCCTAATTTAATTTATCCCTCCTTTGCTCCCATAGGTTTATTGTGACATGAACTTATAATTTGGGTCTTTAAATAATCAAAAATATATTGAAAAAGACTTTTGATAACGTAAATACTCTCTTCGGAATATTGTAACAGCCCAAACCCTATCAAATATAGAAGTATTATTATTAAAAGTTAATTTCCTTGATTATTGAGCACTCTTAATGTCCCTCATTGTTATATCAATATTTTTAAAGCTATGATGCTTCTCCAATCGGCCTCTTTTTATTACCGGAACATCATTAAAATCTTCAAGCTCTGGGTGTAATTTAGCCGCAAAATTAAATGGAGATGATCCTGAGCTATCAGAGTCATCAGCATAGAAATTCCTGATCTTGATTGCTTTCTGGAGTAAAGATCTGATATCCATCTGTACTTGAGAATTTCAAGGAGGCCCTTGAGAATGAATTTTCTTTGAAGGAAGTTTAGTTCCGATGATAGGCTTTTTGTTGGAAGTGTCCTGATTATGCTTCTTTAATCAAACTTGGGAGACTAAGTGTACTGCTTTAGTTGACTTGAATGGTGTTCATGACATGTTCTGTGTCAGATGTGATGTTGTTTTGACTCTTAGAACAACAGCACCTTCATTGAGTAATTCATCAGGTAAGTTTTCGTCAAATTGATCCATTTACTAGTAATCCAAAATATTATTATGTCTCAACTTAGGATTATTTATTGGGGTTTTGGGGTTTTGGGGTTTTGGGG